ACGCATGTAACAAAGTAAACTACAAAATACATTATAACAAACACAATACATTTATACATGTGTATCAATCGAGTATTTGTGTGTATGTGTGTGCGTGTGTGTGTTATATGTGTGTGCGTGCGCATGTGTGTGTCTGTATGTATGCGTGTGTCTGTGTTTGTTGGTGCCACACCGTACGCGTCTACCCATTAATAAACATGGCGAGTACGGCGGACTGGTTCGTAAAATTTTATTGGCTGTTAGTGAAAACCTCCAATAAAATCGTCGATGTCATTGGTCGGTTTGAATGACCAATTAAATGAGGTTATTAACGTCACGTTAGCATGAGGGTGACCAATGGCTGCTCTTGGTTGTCCAAGTGGCCGCGTGCTTATCAAAGGTTAGGCGTTTTTGGTTAGGTGCAGGCGATAATGATGATGATGATGATGATGATAGTGGTGGTGGTGACGACGACGATGATGGTGATGGAGGTGATGATGATGATGGTTGAGAAGAAGATGTTAATGATGATAACAACACGCACGCTGATGATCAAAGTGTGGCAATAATATTTAATGCGACGGTAAGCCGTGATGATGAGAACGACGATGATGATGGCAGTGATGATGACGACGACGACGATGATGATGTGGAAAATCCCAGATGTGTTATCTTTTCTGATTTTTTTTCTTAGTTCTTTTTTATTCTCGAGCAACTTTTACGCCTCGTCTATTGAGGAATAGAACAGTGGATTTGAAATGATTGTGGAATGGTTTTAAAATGCTAATTTCAGAGAAACACCAATCACAATATAGCACAATTATAATTAATTATTTCATTATTGCTCCTAATTATATTTGATTAATTAATTAATTAATATTATCAATTACTTTATATAACCAAACATACAAAAGGTACATAATTTTGGTGGCATATTTCAATTCTTCAAGATGAAAGGGGAACGTTTCAGTAGTAGTAAAACAAGGTAGTATTAGTATTAGTAATGAGAATAGTTACAGTGAAAGTAGTAGTCGAAGTAGTAGTAGTAGTGGTGATAACTGTAGTAGCCACAACCAACTACGTTGCATGAACAGATTCTGTAGCATGTTAGATATATGACCTACACGTATGCCCAATTATATAATTGCCTTGCATTGCATTTTATAGGCAGACACACAAAGAGGCAGACACACAACACACACACGTACAAACACACAAACGCACACACGTAATTTACATAAAATCAGTTTTTACGCACGTGACGCGATGATGACCGACACGCAAACAATTGCCATATAACATCGAATACCAAATTTATACCGAAACAAAAAAAGGCGAACGCAATTTTGTACACGCACACACGCACAAGTGTACATGCAAATTTACATAAACACACATACACACACACGTACCCAGATTAATTTACACACGCACGAAGACAGCCACGCGCACATTTATATACTTAATAAAACAAACATCTCTTTACAAACCCATAAAACAAACGCGCAAGAATTATAAGCATGAAAATGACAAAAGCTCGCACACACCCACACACGTACACACGCATCCACACACATAAACACACTGATATAAACACACATACAAAAATACCCACACATACTCACGCACCTAAAGACAGATACGCGTTTGAACGCGCGTATTATGCTTATTACGATCGTCATGGGACTCATAACACACAGCACACAAAAATCTCTTCAGCCATACACACACGCGCACACACTCGTACACACATATATTCACATACACACATGTACACGTACATACATACACACGTACACACATGCCATGGTATCTTTTCCACAGTGCATCCTACTATATATGTGTTTGTCCTTTTTTTATTTTTCCAGTTCAGAGTCAAAAATTCCGCCATTCGTTAAAAAAAATTATTTTTGTTTGTTCAGTTTTATCTGTGGCAGATTTTGCATTTTGTATTATACGGTGTGTATGTATCGTTCTGATACAATACAATTCAATCTGTATAAACACCACAAACACTCTCTCACACAGACACAACAAATATAGAGATAAAAAAAGAAGAGAGAGAGAAAGAGAGAGATAAAAATAAATTGGTGTAAAATTTATTTATCTTTGCATGTTCATTATATCTTATAGCACATACACTACACATACATGACCATACTTCTTACGTGTGTACTGATTGAAATAAATACCAAACCGAGCGAGCCATGCGTATAACATACCTCTTACAAAAAGATACATTCTTGCAATGATACCCGCAAACATGCAAACATATAGTAAGAAAAACACACATAGATACACACAGACACATACACACACGTACCTACACATACACAGTAACACATATGTACACGTACCTACACACACACACACACACACACACACATTTTTGCATGATACCCGCAAACATATAGTAAAAAAAACACACATAGATACACACACACGCACACACACACACACACGTACCTACACACACACACACACACAGACACACGTACGATATGGCATGGTACACTCTGGTTATATATCAGCAGACTTTCATAAGCACGCATTTATGCATTCACAGAGCCAGGCATCATTACCAATAATTTATAGTACCTTGAATGTTTTATAGGCAACTAGTTAATTTTACCAGGAAACTTTGGTAAATTATAGTGCGGTGTGTTTGTATGTGAGTGTGTTTGTTTGCGTGTGTGTGTGTGAAGTTTTCATTGGTGTGTGGAGTGATTTTCGGTGTGCCACGTTTGTGTTTTGTTTCGTCAGGTTGGGTTATGAGATGGTATTGTGGCATGAAGTAGAGGTTAAACGTTGTTTTGTTGTCAACTGGGTTTCAAATTGATTGCTATATGCTTGTACTGCTACTACTACTACTGCTACTACTACTACAACAACAACTACTACTACTACTACTGCTACTACTACTACTACTACAACAACAATAACTACTACTACTGCTACTACTGTTGCCGCTACTACTGCAGCTGCTACAAACGCTGAGTTTACTGCTTCTACTGCTGTTACTACCGACTCTCTCTCTACGACGACTATATATAAATTTTTTAGTGCCTTTTTTGTTGAACAATTTTCCCTTTAAATTTATTCCTCGTTTGACATTCAGCACGTGGCGGCATTGTTTGCGATTTTTTCGAGAGATTTATGCCGACTGCCACGCTGCTGCTGCTACTACTACTACTACTGCTATTACTACTACTACTGCTACTACTACTACTACTACTACTACTACTACTACTACTACTACTACTGCTACTACTACTGTTAATGCTACTGCTACTACTACTACTACTGCTGCTGCAGCTGCTACTGCTGCCTAAGAATGATTTGATGGATTTTAGCCTTAAGATATTCTCAATCATTAAGTCATCATCATACATTCTAATACTGTGGCTCTTGTGTAAAATTTATTTAGTAGATTAGTTGCAGTAGTAGTAGTAGTAGTAGTAGTAGTAGTAGCAGCAGCAGCAGTAGCAGCAGCAACAGTAGCAGCGATAACAATTGCAAATACAAATGATACCTACCAACATCGTCGACAAAGTTAGAAAATGGATTTTGATATATATTTATATAGCGCGGAAATACTAACAACAGCAAGAAGACATTTCCACAAACGTCTGCATATCATACGTCCGGTTCGGAGCTTAAACAGATGACTCGTTCGCCGAAGCGTGCAAGCTTTGCAGGTGATAACATCAAAGAATGATGATGATGACGTCATCATCATCGTCATCGTCGCCGTTATTTTGTTTGTCGTTACGTAGACCTTCTTACACGAAAATATCATTTTCAATGGAACACCCACTTTGATTAACACACAGAGGGAGAAAGAAAGAGAGTGATTGAGAGAAAGAGAGAGAGAAAGAGAGAGAGTGAGAGAGAGGGGAAAGTAAGAAAGAGCAAGGGAGAGAGAGAGAGAGAGAGAGAGAGAGAGAGAAAGAGTATTGTTTGTAACATGATTTTTGTGTCCTGCCTTTGAAGGGCGCATCCTTCATAATTAAGCATTTTGTTCATCTACATAATGTTCGTACAGACCATCAATCAATGGACCTTGTAACATGACACACACGCACACACACACACACACATACACACATACAAACACACGTACACACACACACACACGTACACACATACACACGCACACACCAACACACACGCACACATAACCTACAGATTCATTAACATGAAACGTTATGTGTTATCTTACATGCGTATAATAACTTTTTGTATTGTATTGTTTTATATTGATTTAATTGTATTAGTTTGTATACACAATGTTTTGTATTTGTATTTACAATTGTATTGTATCTATACAACTATTTGTTTTGTACTGTATGTAGAATTGTGTATTGTATCGTTGCTATACAGTATTGTTTGTGATGTATTGATTGTATTATGTGTAGTACGTTCTAATTTCTTGTATTTTCCGTACATATGTATGTGTGTATGTGGTCTGTGTGTGTTTCTGTGTGTGTGTATGTATATCCGTTAGTATTCTTTTTTGTTTATGTTTGTATATGTATGTATGTGCGTGTACCCGAATATGAAGAATAACATAGAAACTCTTTCTTCTCCTTTTAAATTATCAAATTCCTAAAATCCAAATATACAAAACGAAATAAAATAAGAACAAACAGCAAAATAAAATATTGCATAAATAAATATGATAACACGATTTAAAATGGGTGAAGTTTTCTACCTGTGACAATAAAACGAATCAGAATGAAAGAAACGAATCTCCAAGATTATTTCAATTAATTTTATTTCCAATATTTGACTTAGCATAAGATTTGATGTCTTTTTCAACAGTTAAACTGAGAATTTTGTTGTGTTATGACAACAAATGGTTAGAATTCTTAGTTAAGGGTGGGCCTATCCACAAGTTTATCTTTTTTTGGTCATCCTTCAAAATAAATAAATACATGACTCTCCGAATTGGTTGAGTTCCAGTTTGTTAAATGCGCTCATACTTCAAAGGAGAGTTATCATTGAGGGAAGCCTCCCAACTCGGATCTGCAGTCGTCAGTGCTGCAGTAGTTGCTATTCCAGGTTGCTTTGACACGGTCGTCATTTTCTTATGGAGAAAACCTTTCTTTCTTTCGTTTCTCTGCACTCTAAATCATATAATCTTTAATAATAATGATGGGGATGATGATGATAATAATAATAATATTGTTGTTGTTGTTGGTTGTTGTTGTTGTTGTTTTTGTTACCGGAGAATAATGAGAAAGTGTTTTGGAAAAGTTTTGACGCTCATTCGTAGATTGTCATTGATTGATGACGTCAATGTTATCATTGTTGTTGTTATTGTTGTTGTTATTATTATGAAAATTATTATTTATTTTGCGATTATTATTGTTATTATTGTTGGTATTATCCTCATTATCATCATCGTCATCATTAATCACACGCGACAATTGATTATTGACGATTCCTATACATTTATCGATTTTGACGAAGCAGGTAGGTAGCTAAATACTCACACATACACGCACGTACACACATAACGTACATTACTTAATGTGTATGTGTGTGTTTGTATGTATGTGTGTGTATGTGTACGTGTGTGTATGTGTACGTGTGTGTTGGTTTCCTTAGGCGGTATTATATTTTAAGAACATGCCTTTCTATGAAAAACCAGTTTACAATCATTATGAAAATTTCTATATAAAGATTACACATACACGCACATATACACACATACACACACATATACACACACACATACACACACATGCGCGCGTATACAAACGTATCTACACATACTTTCGATTTTTTTTTTGTTTTTCCAACGAAATCAACTGTTTGTTGAAATCAGATGAAATATAAAAAAATTTATTTAATTTAAAGATTTTTATATTTTTCAACAAAATCATTGAAAAGGCTTTTGAAATTTTGGTTATTCAATAAATAAATGAATAATTAAATAATTTTGGTATAATTGTATTATATTAGGCATTAATATCATGTGCTATTGTTATTTGTTTTGTTGATTGGTTAACTTTCGTCAGCAGTTTGTTTGTATGTTTGCTGTTTGTCTATTGCTTGTCTATTGTTCGTTCTTATTTTTGTTATTTGTTTGTAAGTTGTTCGTCTATCGTTCGTTCGTTCATTAATTCATCAATTTGTTTGCACGCATGTTTGCACGTTGCTTATGTTTAATATTACGTTCTGCAAACATGTCAAACGTAACAAGAAGATTGGATTAATTTATTTGTTTGTTTGTTTGTTTGTATGTTTGTTTGTTTGTTCAGGTGTAAAGCAATTTTCAAAGCGTTTGTATAAAATATTGATGTTTAGTGGCTCTCAAATGAACTAACTGCTACGGTAACGAGCTACTTTTGTTTGCTCACTGCCCTATCTGAATAGTTTGTATTGTATGTTCTGTATTGTATGTTTTGTGTTGTATGTTTGTTGGTTTGTTATTTGTTTGTTTGGTAATTTGTTTAGTTGGCTGGTTGGTTGGCTTGTTTACTTGCTGGGTTTGTTTTTAAGCATGATTGTACGTATGTTTTTCATTCAATTTTAAAATTACGCCAAACACACACACACACAAAACACACACACACATACAAAACACACACACACACACACATACAAAACACACACACACACATACACAGACAGTTAACAAACAGTAAATTTATGAGAGAAACAATAGCTTGATTAATTGCTCTGGTTGTGGACAGCTGAAAGACAAAATGTCCTACCAACTGTTCAACCAACTGACGGAATGAATGGTAGAATGACTGACCATGACAAAAACTACTCCTACTACTACTACTACTACTACTACTACTACTACTACTACTACTACTACTACTACTACTACTACTACTACTACTAATACTACTATTACAAATGCTACTACTATTACTACTACTATTACAAATACTACTACTACTACTATTTATACTATTACTATTACTGCAGTCTTTACCATTAATGTAACAAGTTTATGCTTTCTCAAATTTTGTTTACTGTCTCAGCTACTTTCACTGTTTTAAAAAAAATCCTGTCTGCTTTTTTATTGAAAAAAAATTTTTTTTGAACGCAAATGACGATTGTGTTTGTGTATATGTGTGTGTGTATGTGTGTGTATGTGTGTCTATGTCTATATATGTTTGTGTGTGTATATATGTCTATGTATATATTTGTATGTGTGTGTGTGTATGTATGTCTATGTCTATGTATTTGTATGTATGTATGTGTATGTATGTATGTTTATGTCTATGTATGTTTGTATGTGTATGTATGTCTATGTACTTGTATGTATGTATGTGTGTGTATGTATGTCTATGTCTATGTATGTATGTGTGAGTATGTATATGTATATGTGTGTGTTTGTATTTTGGCGTTTAAAAGTGGTGTCGTTAATTTCAATTTGTGCTATATTTTTGTCTCTTTTCCAACGCAATTGTTTCGCAAAATTTTCAACAGTTCTAACTCTTAATTTGATGCAATTGTCCACTGAACATACATACATACATACATACAAACAAACATACATACATATACAAATGCATACACAAATACATACAAACATACCTACAGACATTTCATACATACACACAGCAGTTTTGCCTTTTTGAGTTATGCGTGTTGAACTATTTATTGTTCAACTAAACATTTATTATATTAGTAACAAATCCAAAATAACACACCAAAAATGAACTTATTGACGAATGCAAAATATACAAACCCGCATATACAAACAACCACACGTACATACTGGTACACGCAACACGTACACACAACACATACACGTACGCACATGCGAACAAACAAACATTAATACAAAACATTCAGAAGATGTAACACACGACATAGGTGTCACTTTGAACTAAACTACCAGACGTTAGCACGGATTTATTAGTTGTTAATTATTAAATATTCATGCAAGCACACTTACACACACGTACACATGCACACACATACACATACACATACACACGCACACACATACACATAAACACATGTACACAAACACATGCGCATGCACAAAATTTCGTTTCGTTTTGTATGTATTTAGGTACGTACATTCTTGCATGTATGTATGCATGTATTTTTTTATTTTTTTTTTTTTTATTTATTTTATTTTCAATAAGGGAACCAAATAAGTTTAAATGAAAAAACTTGTGGAGAGGCCACCCTAAGTACTTTACATGAGATATATATGCAATTTAAAACAGAACAGAAAATATACAAATTAAATTTCAATGCATGCAAAAATCGATAAATATAATCAGTAGGATTAACACTCGAAA